GAACAGCAGCAGCAGCAGTAGCAGTAGAAACAGCGGCAGCAGCAGTAGAAACTGCAGCAGCAGTAGTAGCAGCAGGAATAGCAGTAGCAGCAGCAGCAGCAAGTAGCAGCAGCAGTAACAACCGCAGTAGCAATAGCAGCAGCAGCAGTAGCAGCAGCAGCAGCAGCAGCAGCGGACAGCAGCAGCAGCAGCTGCTGCTGCAGTTGTGTGTGTTTGGTGTTTAGAGTGCTCTGATGAACGCCGAGGCCTTCCGCCTGCGGGCCCCCAGAGCAGCAGACCCAGCAGGAGCAGCAGCTGAAGAAGGTACAGCAGCAGCAGCAGCAGCAGCAGCAGCAACGGTAGCAGCAGCAGCAGCAGCAACGGTAGCAGCAGCAGCAGCAGCAGCAGCAACGGTAGCAGCAGCAGCAGAAGCAGCAGCAGAGTACCAGTAGCAGCAGAAAGAGATGCTGCTGCTGCTGTTGCTGCTGCTAGAGAGCTGTATTTAGTTTTGTATGTGGTGCTGTTGTTTGTCTCCTTCTGTCTCTTCTTTCTCTGTCTCCTTTCTGTCTCCTTTTGTCTCCTTCTGTCTCCTTTTGTCTCCTTTTGTCTCCTTATATATATACATATCTCCTCTCTATCTCTGTTTGTCTCCTTTTCTCTCTTTTTGTTTTCTTTTGTCTCCTTTTGTCTCCTTTTTTTTTTTTTTTGTTGAGTTGAGGTGTATGTACAGCTGCGTGTGTGGTGCGCATGCAGCCCCCTCCTTTTTGTCTCCTTCTTTTATTTATTCTGATTTTGTTCCCGTAAGAAAAAAAAAAAGAGAATGCAGCAGCAGAGACAGAGACAGAGACAGAGACAGAGAGAGAGAGAGAGAGAGAGAGAGAGAGAGAGAGAGAGAGAGAGAGAGAGAGAGAGAGAGAGAGAGAGATAGAGAGAGAGAAAGAGAGAGAAAGAGAGAGAAAGAGGAGAGAGACAGCGACAGAGAGACAGAACGAAGAGAAAGGAAGAGTTCTGTCTCTTTTTATGTCTCCTCTCTCTTTCTCTCTTTTTCTGTCTCCTTTTTTTTTGTCTCTTTTTCTGTCTCCTTCTTCTCTTTTTCTGTCTCCTTATATGTCTCTTTCTTTTCTTTTTTTGTTTCTGTTTCTGTCTCCTTTTTTCTTTTTTTGTCTCTTTCTTTCTGTTTCTGTCTCTTTCTTTCTTTTTTTTGTCTCTTTATTTCTTATTCTGTCTCTTTTTCTGTCTCTTTCTTTCTCTGTCTCCTTTTTTTACTTTCTTCTTCACTCTCCTTTTTATTTTCTGTCTCCTCTCTCTCTCTCTCTCTCTCTCT